CGTCGGCACAAGTGCAGCAACGATGAAAGTGCGCGTTGTGGGGGCGGCGTTGCGGCCAGGCAGACGCCGTGCGAGACATATTGTGCCGCGGGCGGCGTCCAACGCTCCGGCAGGTTCATCACGCCTTTCCTGCTGCTTAAACGCCCGAACACGGTAAGGGCGTTGCGTACGTGCTGCCCGACGAAAGTGCGTGGCGGTCTGGGAAATGGGCTTCTGTTGGTCGCCGGGTTCCCGCGGGGCCGCCTGGAGACGCTGGTAGCGTTCCTGGAGCGGCGTTAAAAAGAAACGCGGTCGTCGATCTCCGGCACCGCCCCTTCAGCGCAGCAGCCCATCACGGACACAGTGGACTCGTGAAGGAAGCTTCTGCGTCGAGCGCTGACGCAACGTCAAGGACGGTTTCCGGAAACACACCCCTCCACGAGGCTGCCTTAGGGGCCGGGTGAGTGCGTGCGCGACGTTGGAAGCCGGAGCCAGCACTGCGGTGACGAACAACAGGGAAGACTCCCTTCGAGATCGCTGAATTATGAGGTGCGCGAGCTGTTAGTGCGAGCTGTGTGTCCACTTAGACACGGCAACGCAGAGGTAGACGGCGCTTCGTGGCGGCGAAGTTGTCAATCTGTAGCCGCTGTTGTTGATCCTTAATGAAGCAGGTGGTGGAAACAACACCGGCCGGACGGATTTACGCCAGATGCCAATGTCCTTCACGCAGCAGCTCGCATTACGCAGTGTGCGTAGAGAGCGACAGCAGCGGGTCGCAGAGGTCAGTGACAATGAAGTCTCCAAAAAGATTCTTCGAGAAAAAACGTCTTCTTCATGAAACTTCCCGAAGGGTAAAAGTGGATTGCGTGTGCCCTCGATTAGATACCGGAGCCTGCACTTCGGTGAGAACAAAAACAGGGGAAAATCCCTTTACATAACTCTGTCTTCTGAAATGCGCAATCTCGTAAGTTATAGACCAATTTCCGGTCGGAACAAGATAACGCTCTTCTATGGGACAACCGTCTAAGCATAGTCTCATCTTTAGTGATAGTGTAGTGATATAAGTTTGCAGTCGACATCTCACGCAGTTTGTGTGAGATGTACTTCAGTGGCGTGCCGGCGTGAAATCTCTTGCTGGCACGACAAGGTACCCGTGCTTACCGAGCGACAAGCCAGGCGAAACACGCCTCTCTGCCAACGACGCGGCGCCTCACCTGACAGCCAAAAGTTCACCTGTTGTTACCCCCCTCAGATGCAAAGAATGTGTGAAGACTGTGGCTTCGGGTGGGTACCCTGCGACCCCGCCCACTTTTCAAAACGAAGAAAAAACCTTCCGGAGAAGAAGAGTGCAGACAAGTGGTGAAGTGAAAGAAGCAGTTTTTTGACCACTTTGCGAACCAAATTTCGAAGTTATTTTAAAAAGCCTAGAAATGTTGAAATACAGATGTGAAAAGTGTTGGGTAAATTAAGTTTAGTGAAAAGTTAGGTAAGTTTTTTAAATTGTTTAAAATTAGAAATAGAAGATTAGTGAGGCTGGAAACTTATTGGAGCGCACCCCGTACCAACAAGAGAATAGATGACGTTTCCGTGGTTGTTTGCCGGTTGTCAAGCTGTATCAGTAGCAGCTAATGTACCAGAGCATCAAATGTACCGTACGATCTAATGACGCAGGTTTGGACAGCGCCCCGCCACAGACGTAATACGCGTTTGCGCAGGGTGCATGATGGGGTATGGGTCAATTAATTGAGCATTACCGACAAATATTTATGCACAGTCTCTCTTCCTATTGATTAATATACATGTGAAACCAGTAAATCTCACCACCTAGGAATGAGTCATCCATTATGATTGTCTACAATTAGGAAAAGAAGCGCCTAATCAAACTTAACGTTACACAAACATTACGTTGAAGTTACTAGCCTGCATTCCAGAGAAGAACTATAAGCCGCATGCCACTTACGCTGTATAAACTAATAATGTCATTCGATTATTCGAAAGAAAACGTCTTGTATATGATATCGAAAAAGTGCATTATTCCTGGACCAATATATTTTTATAATAGATTAAAATAGTCCTAATCCACGTTTTGTCCGTGATAACAAAAATGTGTTTTTTTTCGCAAACGTCCGTGTACGTATGAACAAACAATAGGTCCAAACAGCACAGTCGCAAGTTTGATATCTGAAGTCATGACCCCTTCAATTTGAAACGGATATTGTAAGATTGGCAATCCTTTGCATTCCTAATGACATTTTGGAAAATTTGCCTCAAAATTGGAACTCAATTTTTCAGTTTTGCTTTTTTAATTTATTTTTATTCTTTATTTTTTTAATTTTTTTATTTATTTATATAATTTTTTGCTCCGAAGAGAAATGGGTAGGACTCTGCCCCCACGGGTCCGATTCAGTACAACCTGTCAATATTTCGAAAATGAAAAATTATGTGTTTCAGCTAGAATTTTTTCCACTAAAAAAAAACTGTTGTTCTCTGGAATCAGTTCAAACGCAACGAAAGAAAAATGAATAGAAGACGAAATTGAAAGAATCCACTGTATCTAGATTCTCTTAACTCTCAGAGTTAGGAGGTGAATGCAATGGAATAATTTCATTATTCGTTGCGAAAAGTTCGTATTGATTGAGATCTGACGAATTCTGAATTGCATTGGCGTGTAATGCATGAGAGAATAGGTCATTAAAAGCCTATTAACTTTCAAAAGTTGAAATTCTTGCCGTCTTTTACTGAAGAAAATTCTTCAAGATGGCTGAAATGTCACTAGCTGGACGAATTTGCATATTATAGCAGTACTACCTATCCAGTGAAACAAGAGAAAATGTGCTGTTATAGGCAATTAGTTTTAGTTATTCACATCTTAAGATTTTCTCATTTTTTTGAAACTATTCTTAAAAAGATTTTCAATTGTATTATGAGGGTCATCTATTGCCTCCACCGTTATCATCTTAAATCTTTAAGTTTTGCCCCGCTATTTCAACCTAGATGGTTCCCTAATCGTAATCAATCGCGAAAATAAGCCATGTGTGTGGTGGTGTGTGTGTGTGTGTGTGTGTGGGAAGATCTGAAAAGACCAGGATGACGAATAGATTCAAAAAATTTAATATTTACGTTTCTAATTTTTTCTTTGTGTGGTCTTATTCATTATCTTTATCCAAGATTACATTAACACTTGCATTTGTAGAATTAAATGTTGACGGTTTAGCTCCTTTATAAATTTTTATGTTTGTGTTTTTCTATTAAAATAAATTTTGAATATATTCACTTGCTACATGGTTCATAGAAGTGACTAATAAAGCATGTTGAATATTATTTACCATGTTATTATTATTATTATTATTATTATTATTACCACTTCTACTACTACTACTTACTACTACTTACTACACTACTACTACTACTACTGCTACTGCCTACTACCACCACCACCACTACATTTACTATACTACTACTACTACTACTACCTACTTACTACTAATACTAATATACTGACTACTTACTACTACTACTACTCACTACTACTAATACTAAACTACAATAACTACTTCTGCTTACTGCCTACTGCTACTACTACTACTGTTACTACCATTATTACTACTAATTATATATAAACTCTTATACCGATTGCTCCTCCGTAGATTCAGGCCTCCCCATAACGAAGGAAACCCCAAGGACATACGTCAGACAACTCGGAGACCTGCGTAGGAATATCAGCGGTGCCCGCATCATGTTTCCTGCATGAAGGACCTAAGGCCTTTGCGTCAGAGCGCGCAAATACCCATTCAAGCGTTAGTGCATCGTACTAATATCAGGTGTTGTAGTGCTCCTTCCCTGATCGAAGATAAGTTCTCGCCTGGAGTGATTTTCTCTTCTCCCTAGTATCCACATAGTGAGATACTCTTTCAAAAAACCACCAATCAAGATGCACCTCACTCTAGAATTCCTCATTAGACCTAAATTCCGTGGTGGTAGCAGAGATATTGTGATAACAAATAAGTTATATATTATGAAGCTATCAACCACAAAGTATATACTTGAGAGGTAGTTGCAACTACAAAATGTAATTTTGGTAAAGTCCTCAATCCTTAATTTAATCCATTAGACTAGTTATGTTCGATCAAACATGTTACTAGTTACCGAAAATCCGGCCAAACTTCGAATACATGGATCTCTATTTCAACAAACGAACGGCAAAACGATGTTGCCGCTGAGCTCATGCAGGCTGTTCTAAACAGATGCTAAATATCTAAAATAATTATGCTAAAAATAGCAAGAGGTTTTGGCATCGTTGATCTTCGAATTGTTACTACATTTAATTATTTTCACTAACAAACATTATCGAGAATTCTTTCTCCCCATGTGGTCCAACTACGCTTTCATTAATCATCATGAGCATACAGGTCGTGTTTTTCAAAGCCTCATCGACACACCCAGTGTAAAGTGCACCATTGACTGTTATACTGTTAACATGAACCTATTTGTAGAACTAAATATTTTTTTCCTACAATTCTTTTGATATTTAAATTAATTAATGACAAAGTTAAGTAGTCATAAATGATTTTTTCTAGTTATAGCTCCAAAGTATAGAAATTGACATCACAAAGGAAATGAAAGAAAATATACGAATTTCGGACAAATAAAAATAGTATTATTTCAACGAAGGCATTTGGGAAATTAACATACCCTTTTAAAAGTTATACTGTAAGAACGGAAAGTAAATAATTTGGCAATTACGCCCAAAAATAGAAATACATGCGAATAATACTTTTAAAGAAAAAGTAGATTCTGTTTCCCTTTGCCCTCGAAAGCAACAGACTTGAGTGGATATACCAGCAGCAAGGGATGGGTCGTTCTTGGCAGGCACTTGGGTAAGAATTAGTGTTTTAATGAATATTCACTTATTTACTTATTAACCACTGAAGACCTAACTTATGACATTATCGTCTTCACAAACTTGATAGTATAATATGTTGACTAGGACATAATATTTAAAATTTATTTTTTTATTAAGTATGGTTGAAAGGGCGTCAAAGGCCGACCCGGATAGCGAGGTGCCTCGCGTCTGAAGGGTCGCGATTTCAAGTCCGCCGTGGCATGTTGGTTTGTCCCTTGTCTTTCATTGTGTTACGGGGAAGGCCTTGGTCTTGCTACCACAGACCGAGGAGCTCGCAGCTGTCTAGTGCAAAAGGTTAATGGGTGTCGCCATGAGAGACATTGTGAGTTACGCGCGCAGGAATAGTCTAAATTCGCATCGCATGTAGGAACATAAGCTCCAGAAAGAAAGAAAAAAATTGCTGGGCGCAAAAATTTGAGTAGGTCAGTGTTAATGCTGGAAGTTCCAACTTAAATCCGAATATGTGGTACATGTTCGCAGTTCACTACATGTTCGCAGCGTTTGTGAAAAGGGAGATCAGAGCACCAAAGAAGAGAATTGTGCTCGCATGCGATCAGAGCGCTGCTACAGCAGAAAAACTACAAATCTGTAAGCCGCACCCTAGATTCTCCTTTAGAAATTATAGGACGAAAAAAATGAACAAGGTACTTTTATCAGAAACGCTTTTTTTAGGTACTTGTATGTTACCCTACAAGCTGGTTTAGCCAGGTCGAATGGAGCGCTGACTGGAGGAGAATTCTTAAGCGGCCGGCTGCTCTGATCGGTAGTTTTCCGTGCTTTCTCGATCAAGCCAGGCGAAGCCGGAGCAGTACCGTAACGTGTCACGGTTCGGCCGCCGCGATCTTTCCACCTCTTCCTTTTTCTGTCCTCACCCTCATTCACCCACTAACATGCACTACACTACACACATGCCGGAAGACAGGTCGGGAGCTTAAGCTTGCTCCCCGCTGGAGCGCTGTCACTCTGGTTGGAGATACCTGGTTGGGAAAAAAAACCCGCGACGGTAGTCGCTACGCGACGATAGGTCGGCGTCGGATCTCGCCATACTGCGGTGGAGCTACCGCTACTTCCCGAGCAAACAGGCACTACATTTTACGAAACTAAATGACCCTAGTAAGATGTTACGCCCGGAAAAACCAACAATTAATCAATCAATCCGCGCATTAGAACGCGGTGAGGAGCGTTGCGCGCAACGTTGCGCGTTGTCGCATTTACAAGTGAAGTCTACACATTTGTGTAGCCGAAGTGACGACCAGGCGCATTTGAAATGGGTACTACGTTGTTGGAGCCGGGAGTATGGTGCGGGAGTTTATTGCCGTTTATAAGGCCTAGCCGTTATGAATATTAGAATTCAGTGTATTATCAACAAAACTTAAAATCTGCGGGCTTACAGGAAATTAATAAAAATTGTACATAAGAGTTTCCCGAAATAGATTCAGGATTTCGTGTCTTAAAAAAAATTGAAAGTCGGCGAGAGCTTTCCGTAAGAAGCGAGAAAGTTATAAAGAAGAGAAGTTGGTGCCGCGCAGATGAATATAGAGCTATAAACCGAATTTATAATTTTCCTTTCAATTCATTTAATAATAGCATATGGTAATTTTTGCCTATAATTTTTCACCAAAATAGTGCGTTTTTTGTTTTCGAGCCAATTACTTCCTCCGTGACTATGCTTTATCAAAAAATATCAAGCTCTCAATCATTTGCGTTTACAGTGATTGTCGATGGTTCATCACTTCTGATGTTAACAAACAGTAAAAATACTAACAAGTAACGACGTTTACTAAAATACAGGATATTATAGTCATGGTCAATAACCTACAGCACGCAAGACTATTAACACAGAGTAGCTGCAGCGTGTACCGTGGACCTACGTTCTTAGGACGTTGGATCTACGAAATTCACGCGCGTGCACCAAGAGGCGCGCCTCTAGAACGCGGCTTGGGATCTGAAAGACTGTGATGAAATATTTCCACCCGCCGACAGGCTCGATTCGGATGGGACTCGAAATCACTCTTGAGCGCGGGTGGGATCGTGGCAGCATCAACAAAACAATAAGGATAGAAGCACCCTCAAATGTGACACGTCGGAAAACAAAAAGCGCTTTGCAGCACTCCAAGTGGCCAGGCCAAGAACTACATAACCGCCCGCCCAGCGTAGCGTATGGAAGTTAATTTCACTCAATCGTCTTCGCGAAAGTTAATGGATATTAATAGGCTACATTCTATTTTGCCAATTTTTCTAAATATTATTAATTATCTATTTCGTAATGCACGTGGTAAGTCATGACTGAGGAGAGTCATCTAATTGTGTGCGTAATGCAGAAATGAAGGAATCCAAAAATGAAAAACAAAGAAATATATAAAATTAATAAATCATTTACCTTTCATTGTACAACTTTATATTAACATATCATACCACGATCACCCCTAACCATCATTTTATCACCACATAATTCATAATTTAAGGCTTAGCTATCTTGTCTCACGAAGGGATACAGTCATAAAGCTGATCTCCATAATTACGCACGTTATGACTGGACCTCGCAAGGGAACGTGTGAGTGTATTGAAGCGGTCTATACGCAAATAATAATAATAATAATAATAATAATATTAATAATAATAATAATAATAACGATGATGATGGTGATGATAATAATAATGGTAGTAAAAAGATTGTTGTTCATGATGTTCTCGACGAAGGATTCGACGAAAAAACATCAAATCCAATCAAAGGTTGAAAGACACTTCGCGTGTTCAAAAAGTGGCTCTAACGTAAGTGACAGTCGGACGGAGGTTACTCAGATTATTGTAAGATTGTGGTAGTATCACGCTTTCAGTTCACAATTAAATTCGTATAGCGTTCATAAATATATAATTATGTTTTTCAAACGACTTTTTGGGGGGTTTGACAAATACATGAGGATTCATTGCTGACATCTTTTAACACTCGTACCGTATCTGATTGTTTTTTTTGGAGTCCATCATTAATTTGTTAATATTTTCCGAAAAACTTGCAGGATAATTTTAGTCTTCTCGATATGCCTTCGTGAACATATTAAGCTGATACCAAACCATTTTCACATTTTTTCCAAATTTCATTTGAAAGTTATTAATTTATTTTTCGTTACATGAGGCTGTTTTGACCTAAGTTACAGCTAGTTATTTCCCCTCTTTCACTTGAAATATCTTGACATGAACTTCAAAAACAATTATTTACACTCAGTAACTGCCGTACACATTCGTGTTCACCACTACCAATGAGTGTACAGCTGGAGGTCCGAAAAGACCCCTGGTCGAGTACTTGATTGTAAACTGCAGATATGGTACGAGAGCTAAAATCCCGAGTCTGGTGTGTTATTTACTTGGCTCATGTCTTCCCATTGAAAATACCAACGAAATGTTTGCAAATATATTTTGTAAGTGATATTTATTAATAGTTAATGATTCAATGGAGAGATACAAAGATATCATTTTCGCCAACTAAAATACCTCCATAATGGACGATTTACAATGTAAATCATAACGCCTACAATAAACGCAATGCCTACAATAAAGATTTTAAAATTACATTTATAATATAATATTTATATTAATAACTATAAAATCGTTATTAACGCAGGCAAAAGCCCAAAACAGAATACAGAGTGAATTGAATTCACGCCTTGTTTTACGTGGCGAGACTCGAGCCATCAGGTCCACTCTTTCGTCTGACCGTGGATTTTTAAGGGCAAAAAATTCTTCGTACGCCTTCCTTCGGAGGGGAAGTAAAGCCGGCAGTCTCGTGTTAGTATATTTACTTGCATGTAAAAAATCCTCAAGCCTAAATGACGCCTCTGAGCTAAATTCAACTCGCCTGTTTCTCGCCCAAGAAATACCCCCCTTTTCCGCTAGTTGGTGAAAGGAGCGTAGCTAAATTTGCGTGGTCAGACGGAAGAGCGGGCCTGATCGCCCGAGGCTCGCCACATAAGGCTTCAATTCAAAATAATGTTGTATGTAAGTACTTGGCGCGATAGCCCGTGAAAGCTCAAGCATACCGGTGACGTCCCTGCCTCGCGCAAGGGAGGTGTGATTCCCACGCTGTATTATGGCCTCATTTATGGCCGCATCGAAATACGAATTCACGTTGGCTTTCTTACGGGTAGCAGTGAAAACGTTAGACTTTTGGATAATTTCTATGAGTCTTGTTTAACCCTGTGGCGGAAACGTGAAAAATCCTGACGTCAGTGGGAACGTTGCATCTAATAGGCCCGCTAGTTAACAGAGCCGCTAGTTATTAAAGTTTTAAATAATTTGCATTTCTTAACCCTAAAATATATACTTCATTTATAAAAGTTAGACTGCAAATAAATAAATATATTACAAATGGTTCAGGTTTAATATCCTGATTCTCACGTTCAACTTCTTCCATTTGTTGTTCAGAATGTGAACAGTGCAAACTTTCTAGTTCAAATAATAGATCGACAACTTCACCACTTGATAATCAATCATAATTTTCTAAACGCTTGTTTATTAATTCTATATCTATTGGATTTAATGCATTGAAATAACTCTTGGATGAGCTGTCTATGCTGTAAAACAACAACAACAACAACAACAACAACAACAACAACAACAACAAAACACGTAAACGGGAACGATGGGTCAGATGTCTCAAATCAACAACATTAAGCGGAAATAGCATACGTTTTTTCTGATAAACTCAAAGGAATGGTCATCTGTTCAGAAAGATTCAATTCGAAGGTAGACTAGTGGATAAGTTAAGAAAAAATTTTGTTCATTTGACAGACGACTTCAAAGATGTTGCTGGGTGTGACAGACTCAACGTTCCTACCGCCGGGTTAAAATAGGTGTTGGTCGAAAAAACGTGGCCCTCTTCAAGATCGCAAAGTGTAAATGAAAATCCGCTTTAATAAATGAAATGTGAAGTAGGAGAAGAATTTTGAGGCGCAAGAAAAGTGATTTGCTTGGAAGGGTTTATTATAAATCCGTAGTAGTTATTCCTCTAGTCCAAATGTGAATACTACTACATTACTGCAATAATTAAACAAAAACAATACAAATATACAGCGTAAATGCATTTAATAAAATGTATTGCGTTTTAGGTGAATTCACATTTCATGTAAATAGCAATTGGAATTTTAATTCAATATCTCTCTATTACAGGTTAGTATCAGATCATCTCCACTGTGCAGAATGAGACCATCAGAAATGCAAATCAAAATGGGAAGTGTGTTTATACAACTGGATTTAGTGGAACACAGGATATCGGACCTGGAGGCAACAGTGAAAACAATTGTTGGGTGCCTACGGAAAAAAGTGAGATTTCTTTTGCCAGAATGCGCTTTTGGAGAAGACCCCCCTTTGAGATACGTTGTTTCAAGTACTCGCGACCCGGAAACGGTCAACGAAAGGTATTTTCATCGCTCCGAAAATAGAGACGCCGACCTACACGCGGCCCGAACAAACGGATTAGAGCACTTCACATCGGTGCTTATAGACTCAAGGGCGTACGTCAACGTTCGGGACCACCTGCTGCGCACGCCGCTGCACTGCGTCGCCGCCCAAGGCCTCGTGACGGACGCCCAGCGCCTCCTGTTGGCCGGGGCGAAGGTCGACGCCAAGGACGTGGACGGCTACACACCGCTAGACTTCGCTGCGGGGTACGGCTGCTGGGGCTTAGTGAAACTCCTTCAGCGGAATGGAGCAAAACCGAACGAAAACACTCTACTTTTCGCTGCGAGGTGTGGACAGTGGGATATGCTGCAGTATTTTCTGAGCATGGTACCGTTTGTTGATGCGCGCACTGAAAAAGGAGATCCTTTGATTGTGCTGGCTGCGCAAGCTTGTCAATGGGAATTGGTGCATCTCCTGTTGGCGAAAGGGGCGTCGGCGACGAAGTGCAGCAACGATGAAAATTGCGCGTTGGTGTGGGCGGCGTTTGCGGGCCAGGCAGACGCCGTGCGAGACATATTGTGCCGCGGGGCGGCGTCCAACGCTCGGCAGGTTCATCACGCCCTTTCCTGCTGCTTAAACGCCGACACGGTAAGGGCGTTTGCGTACGTGCTGCCCGACGAGGTGCGTGGTCGGTCTGGGAAATGGGCTCTGTTGGTCGCCGGGTCCCGCGGCCGCCTGGAGACGCTGGTAGCGTTCCTGGAAGCGGGCGTTAAAGTAAACGCGGTCGTCGACTTCTCCGGCACCGCCCTTCACGCAGCAGCCCATCACGGACACGTGGATTGCGTGAAGGAGCTTCTGCGTCGAGGCGCTGACGGCAACGTCAAGGACGGTTTCGGAAACACACCCCTCCACGAGGCTGCCCTTAGGGGCCGGGTGGAGTGCGTGCGCGAGCTGTTGGAAGCCGGAGCCAGCACTGCGGTGACGAACGAACAGGGGAAGACTCCCTTCGATGTCGCTGAATCTTCTGAGGTGCGCGAGCTGTTAGTGCGAGCTGTGTGTCCACCTTAGACACGCGCACGAGAGGGTAGACGGCGCTTCTGGCGGGCGAAGGTTGTCAATCTGTAGCCGCTGTGTTGATTCCTTAATGAAGCAGGTGGTGGAAGCAACACCGGCCGGACGGATTTACGCCAGATGCGCAATGTCCTTCACGCAGCAGCTCGCATACGCAGTGTGCGTAAGAGAGCTACAGCAGCGGGTCGCAGAGGTCAGTGACAATGAAGTCTCGAAGAAATGATTCTTCGAGAAAAACGTCTCTTCATGAAACTTCCCTAAGGGTAAAAGTGGATTGCGTGTGCCCTCTATTAGATACCGGAGCCTGCACTTCGGTGAGGAACAAAAACAGGGGAAAATTCCCTTTGACATAACTTCTGCTTCTGAAATGCGCAATCTCGTAAGTTTAGACAAGTTTCCGGTCGGAACAAGATAACGCTCTTCTATGGGACAACCTTCTAAGCATAGTCTCATCTTTAGTGATAGTGTAGTGATATAAGTTTGCAGTCGACATCTCACTCAGTTTTGTGTAGAGATGTACTTGAGTTGGGTGCCTGGCGTGAAATCTCTTGCTGGCACGACAAGGTACCCGTGCTTACCGAGCGACAAGCCAGGCGAAACACGGCCTCTCTGCCAACGACGCGGCGTCACCTGACAGCCAAGAAGTCACCTGTGCTTACCCCCCTCAGATTGCAAAGAATGTTGTGAAGGACTGTGGCTTCGGGTTGGGTACCCTGCGACGCCGCCCACTTTTCAAAACTGAAGAAAAAACCTTCCGGAGAAGAAGAGTTTCAGACAAGTGTGAAGTGAAAGAAGCAGTTTTTGACCACTTTGCGAACACAAATTCGAAGTATATTTTAAAAGCCTAGAAATGTTGAAATACAGATGTGAAAAGTGGGTTGGAGTAAATTAAGATTAAGTTGAAAAGTTAGGTAAGTTTTTTTAATTTTTTTTAAAATTAGAAATAGAAGTTAGTGAGGCCGGAAACTTATGAGGCGCACCCCTACACAAGAGGATAGATGACGTTTCTGGTGTTTGCCGGTTGTCAAGCTGTATCAGTAGCATCTAATGTACCAGTAGCATCAAATGTACCTGTACGATCTAATGACGCAGGTTTTGGGAACAGCCCCGGCAGGACAGATTTATAACCGACGTTTGCGCAGGGTGCATGATGGTGTATGGGTCGAATTAATTGAGCATTACCGACAATATTATGCACAGTCTCTCTTCCTATTGATTAATATTACATGTGAAACCAGTAAAATCTCACCTACCTAGGAATGAGTCATCCATTATGATTGTCGTCACAATTAGGAAAAGAAGCGCCTATATCAACTTAACGTTACACAAACATACCGTTGAAGTACTAGCTGCATCCAGAGAAGAACTATAAGCCGCATGCCACTTACGCTGTATAAACTAAGTAATGTCATTCCGATTATTCGAAAGAAAACTTCATATTGTATATTGATATCGAAAAAGTGCATTATTCCTGGACCCATATATTTTTATAATATATTAAATAGTCCTAATTCACGTTTTGTCCTTGATAACAAAAATGTGTTTTTTTTTCGGCATAACGTCCGTGTACGTATGAACAAAAATAGCGTCCAAACAGCACAGTCGGCAAGTTTGATATCTGAAGTCATGACCCCTTCAATTTGAAACGGATATTGTAATATTGGGAATCCTTTGCATTTGGCCTTAATGACATTTTGGAAATTTGCTCAAAATTGGACTCAATTTTCATGTTTTGCTTTTTTAATTTATTTTTTATTCTTTATTTTTTAATTTTTTTATTTATTTATTAATTTTTTGCTCGAAGAGAAATGGGTAGACTCTGCCCACTGGTCCGATTTACAGTACAACCTTCAATATTCGAAAATGCAAAAATTTGTTTCAGCTAGAATTTTTTCCACTAAAAAACTGTTTCTCTGGAATCAGTTCAAACGCAACGAAGAAAATAATAGAAGACGAAATGAAAGAATCCACTGTATCTAGATTCTCTTAACTCTCAAGTTAGGAGGTGAATGGCAGATGGAATAATTTCATTATTCGTTGCGAAAAAGTTCGTATTGATTGAGATCTGACGAATTCTGAATTGCTATTGGTCTGTAATGCATGAGTAGAATAGTCATTAAAAGCTATTAACTTTCAAAAGTTGAAAATTCTTGCGCGTCTTTTACTGAAGAAAATTCTTCAAGAGAAGGCTGAAGTGTCACTAGCTGACAATTTGCAATATTATAGCAGTACTACCTATCCAGTGAAACAAGAGAAAATGTGCTGTTATAAGGCAATTAGTTTTAGTTATTCACATCTTAAGATTTTTCTCATTTTTGTGAACTTATTCTTAAAAAGTATTTTCATTGTATTATGAGGGTCATCTTTGGCCGTTCCACCGTTATCATCTTAAATCTTTAAGTTTTGGCCCCCGTATTCAACCTAGATGGTCCCTCAATCGTATCAAATCTGCGGAAAATAAGCCATGTGTGTGTATGTGTGTGTGTGTGTGGGAAGGATCTGAAAGACCAGGAGACGAATAGATTACAAAAAATTTAAATATTGTACGTTTCTAATTTTTTTCTTTGGTGTGGTCTTATTCATTATCTTTATCAATTACATTAATCACTTGCCATTGTAGAATTAAATGTTGACGGTTTAGCTCCTTTATAAATATTTTATGTTTTGTGTATTTTCTATTAAAATAAAATTTTGAAATATATTCACTTGTACATTGTTCATAGAAGTGACTAATAAAGCATTTGAATATTATTACCATTGTTGTTGTTATTATTATTATTATTATTATTATTATTATTATTACCACTTCTACTACTACTACTACTACTACTACTACTACAACTACTACTACTACTACTGCTACTGCTACTACCACCACCACCACCACCACTACTATTACTACTATTACTACTATTACTACTACTACTACTACTACTACTACTACTACTACTAATACTACTACTACTAATACTAATACTACTAATACTACTACTACTAATACTACTACTACTAATACTAATACTACTAATACTACTTCTGCTACTGCTACTGCTACTACTACTACTGTTACTACTATTATTACTACTTAAGGCATATATAAACTCTTATACCGATTGCTCCTTCCGTAGATTCAGGGCCTCCCCATAACGAAGGAACCCCCAAGGACATACGTCAGGACAACGTCTGAGACCTGCGTAGAATATCAGCGGTGCCCTGCAATCATGTTTTCCTGCATGAAGACCTAAGGCCTTGCGTCAGAGCGCGGCAAATACCCATTCAAGCGTAGTGCATCGTTTACTATATCAGGTGTTGGTAGTGCTCCTTCCCTGATCGAAGATTAAGTCTGGTCTTCGGCCTGGAGTGATTTTCTCCTCTCCTAGTATCCCCATAGTGAGATACTTTCTTTCAAAACCACCAATCAGATGCACCTCAACTCTAGAATTCCTCATTAGACTAAATTCCGTGGTGGTAGCAGAGATATTGTGATAATCAATAAGTATATTTATGAAGCTATCAACCACAAAGTATATACTTGAGATGGTATCAACTACAAAATGTAATTTGTGGTTGAAAGCTCCTCAATCCTTAATTAATCCATTAGACTAGTTATGTTCGATCAAACATGTTACTAGTTACGAAAATCCGCCAACTTCGAATACATGGATCTCTATTCAACAACGAACGGAAACGATGTTGCCGCTGAGCTCATGCAGGCTGTTCTAAACAGGATCTAAATATCTAAAATAATTATGCTAAAAATAGCAAGAGGTTTGCGCATCTTGAACTTCGAGGTTTGTTACTACATTAAATTAATTTTCACTAACAAACATATCGATTAATTCTTTCTCCCCATGTGGGTCGAACTACGTTTTCATTATATCATCATGAGCATACAGGTCGTGTTTTCAAAGCCTCATCGACACACCAGTGTAAATGCACCATTGCTGTTATACTGTTAACATGAACCTATTTTGTAGAACTAAATATTTTTTCCTACAATTTTGATATTTAAATTAATTAATTGACAAAGTTAAGTAGTCATAAATGATTTTTTCTAGTTATAGCTCCAAAGTATAGAAATTTACATCACAAGAAATGAAAGAAAAATATACGAATTTTCGGACAAATAAAAATAGTATTATTTCCAACGAAGCATTGGGAAATTAACATACCTTTTAAATTATACTTATAACGGAAAGTAAATAATTTTGCAATTTACGCCCAAAGATAGAAATACATGGAATAAATACTTTTAAAAGAAAAGGTAGATTCTGTTTCCCCTTTGCCACTCGAAAGCAACAGACTTGAGTGGTGCATATTACCAGCAGCAAGGGATGGGTCGTTCTTGGCAGGCACTTGGGTAAGAATAGTGTTTTAATTGAATATTCACTTATTTACTTATTAACCACTGAAGACCTAACTTATGACATTATCGTCTTTCACAACTTGATAGTATAATATGTTGACTAGACATAATATTTAAAAATTTATTTTTTTATTAAGTATGGTTGAAGGGCGTCAAAGCCGACCCGGATAGCCGAGGTGCCTCGGTCTGAAGGGTCGCGGTTTCAAGTCCCGCCGTGGGCATGGTTGTTTGTCCCTTGTCTTTCATGTGTTACGGGGAAGGCCTTGTGGGTCTGCTGACCACAGACCGAGGAGCTCGCAGTGTCTAGTGCAAAGGTTAATGGGTGTCGCCATGAGAGACATTGTGAGTACCGGCCGGCAGGAATAGTCTAAATTCGCATCGCATGTAGCTAACATAAGCTCCAGAAAGAAAGAAAAAAATTGCTGGGCGTCAAAATTTGAGTAGGTCAGTGTTAATGCTGGAAGTTCCAACTTAAATCCCGAATATGTGGTACATGTTCGCAGTTCACGTACATGTTCGCAGGCGTTTGTGAAAAGGAAGATCAGAGCCCAAAGATGAGAATGTGCTCGCATGCGATCAGATCACTTTTACAGCAGAAAACTACAAATCTGTGAAGCCGCACCCTAGAATTCTCCTTTAGAAATTATAGGTCAGTGAACAAGTACATTTTATCAGAAACCCGCTTTTTTAGGTACGTTGTATGTACCTAACAAGCTTGTTAGCCAGGTCGAATGGAGTCGCTGACTGGAGGAGAATTCTAGCGGCCGGCTGCTCTGATCGGTAGTTTTCCGTGCTTTCTCCGATCAACGCCAGGCGAATGCCGGAGCAGTACCGTAACGTGTCACGGTCGGCGCGCGATCTTTCCTACCTCTTCCTTTTTCTGTCCTCACCCTCATTCACACACTAACATGCACTACACTACCACACATGCCGGAAGACAGGTCGGGAGCTTAGAGCTTGTCCCGCCTGGAGCGCTGTCACTCTGGTGGGAGATACCTGGTTGGGAAAAAAACCCGCCGACGGTAGGTCGCTACGCCGACGATAGGTCGGCGTCGGATCTCGCCATACTGCGGTGGAGGACTACCGCTACTTCCCGAGCAAAGCAGGCACTACATTTACGAAACTAATGACCCTAGTAGATGTTACGCCCGGAATAACCAACAATTAATCAATCAATCCGCGCATTAGAACGCGGTGAGGAGCGTTGCGCGCAACGTTGCGCGTTGGTCGCATTTACAAGTGAAGTCTACACATTTGTGTAGACGAAGTGACGAGCCAGGCGGCATTTTGAAATGGGTACTCGTTGTTGGAGCCGGGATATGGTGCGGGAGTTTATTTCCGTTTATAGAGTGCCCTAGCTTATGAATATTAGAATTCAGTGTATATCAACAAAACTTAAAATCTGCGGGCTACAAGAAATTAATAAAATTGTACATAAGAGTTTTTCCCGAAATAGATCAGGATTTCGTGTCTAAAAAAATTGAAAGTCTGCGAGATGCTTTCCGTAAAGAAGCGAGAAAGGTATAAGAAAGAGAAGTGGTGCCGCGGCAGAAGATGAATACTAGAGCCTATAAACCGAATTTATAATTTTCCTTCAATTCATTTAATAATGGCATATGGTAATTTTTGCCGATAATTTTTCACCAAAATAGTGCGTTTTGTTTTCGAGCAATTTACTTCCTCCGTACTATGCTTTATCAAAAATATCAAGCTCTGCAATCATTTTGCGTTTACAGTGATTGTCGATGGTCATCACTTCTGATTTAACAAACAGTAAAAATACTAATCAAGTAATCTACGTTTACTAAAATACAGGATATTATAGTCATGGTCAACTAACTACAGCACGCAATACTATCAACACAGAGTAGCTGCAGCGTGTACCGTGGGACCTACGTTCTGGGACGTTGGATCTACGAAATTCCATGCGCTGCACAAGAGCGCGCTCTAGAACGCGGCTGGGATCTGAAATGACTGTGATGGAAATATTTCCACCGCGACATGGCTCGATTCGATTTGACTCGAATCACTCTTGAGCGCGTGTGGGAGCGTGGCAGCATCCCAAAACAATTAAGGATAGAAGTGCACCCTCAATGTTACACGTCGGAAACAAAAGTCGCTTGTAGCACTCCAAGTGGCCTGGCCAAGAACTACATAAACCGCCCGCCCAGCGTAGCGTATGGAAGATAATTTCACTCAATCGTCTTCGCGAAAGTTAATGGATATTAATAGGCTACATTCTATTGCAATTTTTCTAGAATATATTAATTATCTATTTTCGTAATGCACGTGGGTAAAGTCATGACTGAGGAGAGTCATCTAATTGTGTGGTAATGGCAGAAATGAAGGAATCAAAATGAATAAACAAAGAAATATATAAATTAATAAATCATTGCCTTTATTGTACAATTTATATTAAACAATATTCATACAGACTTCAACATTTTAAATTTTTTCACCTTTTAATGGCCTTTTGTATACTTTTTAAAAATACGTTCTTCATAAATGCAAAACAATGTATCATCAGGTGATTTGAAATTAGAGCAAAACCTTTCCTCCAAATTATTTAAATGGCCATTCGTTTTCTAGAAATGTATACAAATGTTCACGATCATTCTTTAAAAACATTACATTAAATAACAAATCATAATAAATCATTACATAACAAAAAATACATGTTTTCTTTGTAGTGTTATGTGAATACAGTAGGCTACAAATTTATACGAGTAATCGTGAATGACACTTTAAATTAAATGCTAACCTCTATATTGCGCAACATCCTTGTATTCCACTAAGACCACCAAATCAAAATGGATAAAACTTGAAACTGTTGCGATTGTTTCCGCTAAAACAAAATATCTTGAAACGCGAAACACACACATGAACGCACAGAACACTAAAGAAACTCCTGAATGTAACCAACGGCAATATGATTGACTCTTCCGCCATGTGGAAATCGAATGCAGGCTGGATGTGACGTACATAAAATAAGCGAAAACCACTAACCAATCATTGCTTGATATTCTTTCAACTAGCGCTCCAAGTGGCCTGGCAGTGTGTTGCCAATTTCCCTATCTCACTTTCACCCCTGTGACAGCTGTAAGAACCACACTTCCACGTGTCACTTGCGCGCGATCTAGCGCGTTGTCAAGAACAGGGCCTTTGAACTCTCCATCAAAATCGGAGACAAAGCTCGAGGGTGCTACTCTAGGAGGCGCTACTGTCGCCAAGTACAGCTGCAGGTTAGACGCCAACATCCGCCCATAAAAATTGGCTAATTTGTGAGAAATAGAAAAAGTGTGTTTTAAATGTTCAATTATTGATAATATACACATATAAGAAACTCCCGAAGAAAGTGCGAATATCGGAGCAATCTTTTAACATTAAGAGT